CCGGTTGAACTGTGGTAGAGAAAAATGACTTAATATCCAGCTACCGGTTGAACGGTGGTAGAGAAAAATGATTTATTACGCACCTACCGGTTGAACGGTGGTAGAGAAAAATGACAATACCCAGCTACCGGTTGAACGGTGGTAGAGAAAAATGGCAATACCCAGCTACCGGTTGAACGGTGGTAGAGAAAAAATATCCAGCTCCGGTTAACGGTATCCCAGTAACCGGTTGAACGGTGGTAGAGAAAAATGACTTAATACCCAGCTACCGGTTGAACGGTGGTAGAGAAAAATGACTTAATATCCAGCTACCGGTTGAACGGTGGTAGAGAAAAATGACTTAATATCCAGCTACCGGTTGAACGGTGGTAGAGAAAATGGCAATACCCCAGCTACCAGTTGAACGGTGGTAGAGAAAAATGACAATACCCAGCTACCGGTTGAACGGTGGTAGAGAAAAATGACATTACGCAGCTACCGGTTGAACGGTGGTAGAGAAAAATGACGTAATGCCCAGCTACCAGCTATTCATTCATAACGGATCTAAGGTTTTTGTGTACTATTTGAATTGTTTGCGAGATGGATGTCTCGCCATTTAAAATCATTAACCTTTGCATTAGTTTTGTGTGAATAATTCATGTATATATATATATATATATATATATATATACCGTTATATATATATATATATATCATCTCAGAAATATGGACAGATACTGAAGGGCCGAAACGTTGTGATAATTATGGCGACAAATATGAGGACAATAGTCCGAATAATGTAAATAGTGTACATAATACCTCATCTCAGAAATATAGACAGATACTGAAGGGCCGAAACGTTGTAATAAATTTGGCAACAAAGATGAGGAGAATAATCCTAATAATGTAAATATTGTAAATAATACCTCATCTCAGAAATATAGACAGATACAAAAGGAACCCGATAAAAAATAATTGCAGACATTCAGTATAAATACACTTCAATAGTATCACGAATCATTTGGAGAGGTTCTTGTGGACGTCAGGTCTTCAAGAATGTTGTTAATGATGTTGAAATTGCTTTTCCAATCGCTTTAGTTCGAATAATTAGCAACCTGTTAATAGAACAAGTAAGTTGACATTGCGAGACAATGTTTGGTTGGTGTTCATTGTTAATGTCTCAGTGGACACAAACAAGTCTGAGGAAGAAAAAAAGACTAAAAAAATCAATTGTGACAAGAAAGTCGTGGACAATTCCAATCTAATCGAAAGCGTTCATTGAAAATGTGTTCTCTCGTGCGTGTGTTTATGCAACAAATAAAACAGACAGACTGAAAATTAGTCGAAGGTGCAAATGAACGCCATTAAAATATGCTTAAACTATTTCAACAGAATGTTTTTCATCAAGCTCATTGTATTAGGCGTTTCTAAATTGAAAAAAAAAAAATTGAATTTGGTGCTATCAAGATAAATGTATATTTTTAGATTGGCCAGAAGCGGAAAGGGAAAAAAAACACAATTTTATGGAGCATAAATTTATTCTTCAAGATAAAGTCTATTATTGTCCACGATCTTCTGAGAACGATCAGCTAGGATCCGAATCTGTCCTAGATACCAGTCCGCTGGCTTTTAATAATAATAATAATAATAATAAAACACTGTAAACAAGCTTCCTTCTCTTCATCAAAACCGTCGAATAGCTGGTCGCGAAGGAAATCTGCCATTGTGAGGAATAGGTCATAGTCGCTCGGAACAGCACCGGGACTGAATGGTGGATGTGGAAGAATCTCAACACCATTTATCTGTTTCAACTTCTGCTTCTACATTTAAATATAATAAAAATCTTAATATAAATTAATTAAAGATATTTAAATTTTATCCATTGCAGTTATTGATTTTTCCGTAAAACAAGCGTCCTAATATAAAGGCGCTGACAGAAAATTGGGAGAAATATAAAAGTGTTTGTTGTATGCAGTTGAATAGATTGTGCCGATCTTCGTTATAAATTTTGTTGAGTGATGGTTGCTTGATTTTGATTTACAGGGCCTCGAGAATTAGGGCCTCCATCCACGAATATATATATATATATATATATATATATATATATATATATATATATATATATATATATGTATGTATGTATGTATATTAAAACATTTCGTTGTATAAATTAGATATGTTCTGTCAGCATATTTTGATAGGATCCTTTCATACATTCACCGGTTATCTTTTTATGTCAACATTGAAAGACGAGAGAAAATCGCATTCTTTATACATACTTCATTTATTTACAAGTACTTTCGACATGTCATCATCAGGGTATTCTTTATTACAAAACAAATATTAAAGTATTCATTAATGAAAACATACTGCAGAAATAAACACACACACACATATATATATTAACTGTTATGTATATATTAAATGTTATATATATATATCAAAAATATATATATTTATATATTAAATGTTAAATATATATATATATATATATATATATATATATATATAAACTGTTATTCACAATGTTAAAATATTAATATTTTTTACACTATTTACATTATTCGGACTATTATTCTCATCTTTGTTGCCATATTTATTACAAAATTTCGGCCCTTCAGTATCTGTCTATATTTCTGAGATGAGGTATTATGTACACTACTTACATTATTCGGACTATTGTCTTCATCTTTGTTGCCATATTTATTACAACGTTTCGGCCATTGTACGCTTTGGCCTTCCTCAGGTGGTTGGAATGTCAAACTCAACCCTTTATTTTCGCGGTAGACTGTTCTAGTTCCCCGTGCCATGTCTAATAGATGCCAGTTCTCAGTTATCTCCTGTTAATTCCCCTTTCGAATTTCTCCACCGTCTTAACCAGGTATTGAGCTCACAAGCTTTGGGTGCTGTTACTGGATCTAATCAACACCTTAATCCACCGTGCCATGTGTATGAATATCTGGGTATTAGAAAGCTAATGTCTTCAGCAGTCATTTTTTTTTTACCAGTGATAATATTGGAATTTTTGCTGTTATCAAGCTGTTTTTACCAGAGCTCATATTGCAATTATTGTTGTTGTTATCGCTTTTCTCTGGCACTCCTCATTACTGGTTTCCATATTGTATTCATTTCTATGCTTGGTCGGCTCAGGAGATTTTTGTGGCCTAGCATATGTGCTGATTCCTTAAGTTTACAAATTTTCCAATGGTATTCTTTATCTATGATCCCAACCTGATCCCAAGGAGGGCGGTGATTTCCCTTTTCTCTTCATATGTGGTCAGCCACGCCTGATTTTTCCCACGTTGTAATAAATATGGCGACAAAGTTGAGGACAATAGTCCGAATAATGTAAATAGTGTACAGAATACCTCAGCTCAGAAATATAGACAGTAATATTTTTTGTTTATTGATATTATATTCAAATTAAATTTAGTTCCTAGTTTAATTTGTTGAAAAATTAAAACGCTTAAATTACTATCAAACGTTAACGGAAAATTTATAAATCTGAATTTTTCCAAATTAGCCGCTATATGCGCACATACATTAATTCTCTTAATTTCCCTTTCTAAATCTCTATTCCTCTTTCTATCCTTAAACCCCTCATTCCACCTCTTATTTCTTACATCTTTACTCTCCTTTTTTCTCTCTGTATCGTTTCCTGTGAGATGACCTATTAAATAAGTCAATGTCTGGTCTTTACCTACCTTCCTCGCTATTAAGTATTGTAATAGAACTATTTTAAAATCATTCCTATTTCTCCCTACCCTCTTTAATTTCGACCATGTCTGTTACCATTGCTCCAAACTCTCTATATCACCTTATATCAACTTATATCTACCTCTCAAAAGTGTATAAAAGATAAATGTAAATTTAAATTAATTTTTCCACCTGATGAGCCAGGGAAAAATAAATTCCTTGAGGAAATAAATTATAACCAACGGACACTTAAAGTTTTCTGTTTTTATTGAATCATATATATATATATATATATATATATATATATATATATATATGTGTGTGTGTGTGTGTGTGTGTGTGTGTGTTATGGGACCTGACCCATAATGCCATAATGGACTATTCCATACATAATAAATACTGCGCCTCAAGAGGAAGCAGGGAGTTCCGTCTGAAGTCTGGAGTTCAGTCTGAAGTCTGGTGTGAAGTCCGTCAGGAGTCTGTCAGAGCGAACGAGTCAGTCAGTCGAGTCAAAGGCAGTCCGAAACAGAGTCGCGTTCAGACAATTACTACTAAACCTGATTGTTCGTACTAACACATTCTACTTCTCTGTATATATATTCTTTGTAACATATCTGTGTTATTCCATATCCGCCTTCAGAGTTTTTCTTTATTGATTCTACCTTGACTATCACCGTGGTATAAGGGGACCGGACCATAATCTTATATATATATATATATATATATATATATATATATATATATATATATATATATATATATATATATATATATATATAAATATATATTATTCACACTGACATATGTATACATATATATGATTGTATGTGTAATTCTTCCGTTCTAATATGTTTGTATGTCACCACCCACAACAAACGCAACTTAACATAACTAACATACATATATTTGGCACAGTTGGTTGAAAGAATCCTGGGAGTGGCTTACGGTGGAAACTCGCACTGTCTTTGTGGCGACATCAGTTACCAAGGACAACAAAGACCCAAACCCATTGTGTACTTTAGCGTTCCAAATATCTACTTCTGCCTCACCCAGTGCTGTGACTACTAATAGTACTGTTTACTTTGCCTTGCTACAATTAGGTTCCTCTAACCTTTGCGTAGTGCATACGCTACCGGAAATGATGTCAGTGTTTGGCCTTGTCAAGTGTTTCTGCTAAGTGTGGCAGCATGTGGTGGCAGCGAAAGGCGGAGAAGATGATGTAAGTGAACTTTGCATGTGAAAAGCAATCGACGTTATTTTTATTTTTATGCTTATTCTAGAAGCGAAGATAATGTTGGAAGAAGATGAGTTTGTGGCGTTACTCATTATGGCGTAGGGAAAACGAAGAAGAAGAAGAAGAAGAAGAAGAAGAAGAAGATGGAGATGATGATGGGGATGATGGAGAACTGAGAAAAAATTATGAATTATAAACAGAAAATATTTAGGTTGTAATAAAAAGCTAAAATAAAAATGCGAATTGAAACGAGAATGAGAAGAAAATAAAGTCCGAATTTATATATTCACAGAAAAAGATGAAGCAACATTTACTGTTCGAAAAAGAACAATGGATTAATGGAATAATTGACAGAGAATAAGAAGTCTATGGATTGATAGAAAGTGAATAGAAATTTAAAGGAATACAAAAATAGAAGTAATTTATAGTTTGAAAGAGTGAGAAAAAGAATCTACTGGATAGGAAGAAAAACAAGAAGAGAAAGAGAAGAATAAATTTATAAATTGAAAGAAAGAGAAGAAAGAATCTCTGGATTGAGAAAAAGAGAAGAATAAATTTATGGATTGAAAGAATGAGAAGAAAGAATCTCTGGATTGAGAGAGAGAGAGAATAAATTTATGGATTGAAAGAAAGAGAAGGAAAAATCTATGGACTGGGTGAGACAAGAATAAATTTATGGATTGAAAGAAAAAGAAGAAAGAATCTATGGATTGAGAGAAAGAGAATAAATTCATGGATTAAATGAAAGATAAGAAACAGTCTATGGATTGATTGAAAGAGAAGAATAAATTTATGGATTGTAAGAAACAGAAGAAAGAGTTTATGGATTGAAAGAAAGAGAAGAAAGAATCTCTGGATTGAGAGAGTAAGAAAGAGAGAGAGAGAGAGAGAGTGAATAAATTTATGGATTGAAAGAAAGAGAAGGGAAAATCTATGGATTGATTGAAAGAGAAGAATAAATTTATGGATTGTAAGAAAGAGAAGAAAGAGTTTATGGATTGAAAGAAAGAGAAGAAAGAATCTCTGGATTGAGAGAGTAAGAAAGAGAGAGAGAGTGAATAAATTTATGGATTGAAAGAAAGAGAAGGAAAAATCTATGGATTGGGTGAAAGAGAAGAATAAATTTATGGATTTTAAGAAAGAGAAGAAAGAGTTTATGGATTGAAAGAAAGAGAAGAAAGAATCTCTGGATTGAGAGAGTAAGAAAGAGAGAGAGAGAGAGTGAATAAATTTATGTATTGAAAGAAAGAGAAGGGAAAATCTATGGATTGATTGAAAGAGAAGAATAAATTTATGGATTGTAAGAAAGAGAAGAAAGAGTTTATGGATTGAAAGAAAGAGAAGAAAGAATCTCTGGATTGAGAGAGTAAGAAAGAGAGAGAGAGTGAATAAATTTATGGATTGAAAGAAAGAGAAGGAAAAATCTATGGATTGGGTGAAAGAGAAGAATAAATTTATGGATTTTAAGAAAGAGAAGAAAGAGTTTATGGACTGAAAGAAAGAGAAGAAAGAATCTATGGATTGAGAGAAAGAGAAGAATAAATTTATGGACTGAATGAAAGAATTTATGGAGGGAAAAGAAGAGAAGAACAATCTATGGATTGAAAGAAAGAATGTACGGATTGAAAGAAAAAGAACAAATAATCTATGGATTGAATGAAAGAGAAGAAGAAAATTATGGATGAAAAGTTAATGAAGAAAGAATTTATTGATTGACATAAACATAAGTGATAATTTATGGATTAAAAGAAAGAGAGCAAAAAATTATGGATTAAACGAAAGGGAAGAAAGAATTTATGGGTTGGAAAAAAGTAAAAACAAAAGAAAGAGAAGAAGAAATTAATGGATTGAGAAAAGAGAAGAAGAAATTTATGGATTGAGAAAATAGAAGGAGACATTTATGGATTGAGAAAAGAGAAGAATAAATTTATGGATTGAAAGAAAGAAAAGAAAGCATTCATCTATTGTAAGAAACAGAAAAAATCTACCGGTTTGCAAAAATTAGAAATTTATAGATTGAATGAAAGAAAAGAAAGAATTTATCGAATGAAAGAAAGAGAAATGAAAATTTACGGTTTCAAAGAAAGAGAAGAAGAAATTTATGGAATGAAAGAAAGAAAAGAAAGACTCGATGGATTGAATGAAAAAGGAAATATTTCATATTGAAAGAAAGGGAAGCTATAATTTATGCATCAAAAGAAAGAGAAAAAATCAGTCAGGGATTGAAAGAAAGGCGGAGAAATTCGTAGACTGAAAAAGATAAAGAATTTATAGATCGAAAGAAAGAAGGGGAAATATTCTTGGATTGAAAGAAAGAAGGAGAAATGTATGTATAGAAAGAAAGAGGAAGGGGAATAAATTTATGGATTGGAAGAAAGAGAAGAACGAATTTATGAATTGAAAGAAAAGGATAAATAATTTATGCATTGAATGAAAGAGAATAAAGACCTTATAGCCAGAAAGAAATAGAATAAAATATGGATTGAAAGGAGGGGACGAATGAATTCATGGATTGAAAAAAAGAGGATTAAATACTTGCATCGAATAGAAACGGAAGATAGAATTTATGGATTGAAAGAAAGAGAAGAAAAATCTTGGATTTAACGAAAGAGAAGAAATTTATGGGTTGAAAGAAAGCGAAGAAAGAACTTATGGATTCTAAGAAAGAGAAGAAATAGTTTATATATTGAAAGAAAAAGTTAGAAATTTATAGATTGAACAAAGTGGAGAATGAATTTATGGAGGGAAAGAAAGAGGCCAAGAAATATATGGATGGAAAGAAAGAATGTATGGATCGGAAGAAAAAGAAAAGTGTTGTTTAGATTGATAGAAAGAAATTAATGAAGTCATATATTGAAAAAGTGACGAATGAGTTTATGGATGTAAAGAACGAGAAAATGGCATCTATAGATTGAATCTAAGAATTGAAAGGAAGAAAAAGAAATGTAGGGATTGAAAGAACTATAAGAAAGAATTTATGGATTGAAAGAATGAAAACAAAAAAATTATGGATTGAAAGAACGAGAAGAGAGAATTTATGTATAGAAACAAAGAGAAGAAATAATTTATAGATTGAAAAAAGAGAAAAAGAAACCAAGGGTTGAAAGATAGAGAATAAGAAATTTCTGGATTGAAATAAGAGAAAAGGAATCCAAGTATTGAAAGAAAGGGAAGAAGAAATTTCTGGATTGAAAGAAGAGAAAAGGAATCCAAGTATTGAAAGAAAGGGAAGAAGAAATTTAAGGATTGAAATGAAGAGCAAAAATAATCCAAGTATTGAAAGAAAGGGAAGAAGAAATTTAAGGATTGAAATGAAGAGCAAAAAATAATCCAAGTATTGAAAGAAAGGGAAGAAGAAATTTAAGGATTGAAATGAAGAGCAAAAATAATCCAAGGGTTGAAAAGAAGAGAAGAAGAAATTTATGGATTTAATGAAGAGAAAAAGAATCCAAGCTTTGAAAAAAAGAGAAGAAATTTCTGGATTGAATGAAGAGAAAAAGAATCCAACGGTTGAAAGAAAGAGAAGAAGAAATTTCTGGATTGAATGAAGAGAAAAAGAATCCAAGCTTTGAAAAAAGAGAAGAAATTTCTGGATTGAATGAAGAGAAAAAGAACTAAAGGTTGAAAGAAAGAAAGAAGAAATTTATGGATTGAATGAAGAAAAAAAATAACCCAAGTTTGAAAGAAAGTTTGAAAGAAAGAGAGGATGAAATTTATGGATTGAATGAAGAAAAAATAATAGAAGGGTTGAAAGAAAGAGAATAAGAAATTTATGGATTGAATGAAGAGAAAAAGAATCCAAGTATTGAAAGAAAGAGAAGAAGAAATTTAAGGATTGAAAGAAGAGAAAAGAATCCAATGGTTGAAAGAAAGAGAAGAAGAAATTTATGGATTGAATGAAGAGGAAAAATAATCCAATGGTTAAAAGAAAGAGAAGAAGAAATTTATGGATTGAAATGAAGAAAAAATGAATCGAAGGGTTGAAAGAAAGAGAAGAAGAAATTTATGGATTGAATGAAGAGGAAATGAATCCAAGTGTTGAAAGAAAGAGAAGAAGATATTTATGGATTGAAAGATGAAAAAAATCCAATGTTTGAAAGAAAGACAAGAAGAAATTTATGGATTGAATGAAGAAAAAATAATCCAAGGGTTGAAAGAAAGAGAAAAAATTTATGGATTGAAAGAAAAGAAAAAGAATCCAAGTGTTGAAAGAAAGAAAAGAAGAAATTTATGGATTGAAAGAATAGAAAAAGCATTCAAGCGGTGAAAGAAATAGAAGAAGAAATTTTTGGATTGAAAGAAGAAAAAAAGAATCCAAGCATTGAAAGAAAGGGAAGAAGAAATTTATGGACTGAAATAAAATGACATGAATGAATTTATTTATACAAAGGACGAGAAAATTGCGTGTATAGATCGCCGGAAAGTTAAGAAAGAATTTACGTATCGAGTGTAAAAGAAGAATGAATTTATAGATTGAGAGAAACAGAAGAGAAAATTATGTATAGGAAGAAAAGGGAGAAGACGTTTTTGGATTGTTAGCAAATGAAATATAAATTTGTCAAATGAATTCGAGAGGAATGAATTGATGGATTCATTGAAAAAGGAGAACTTATTTTCGAAAACGAAACGAAATTTAAAGAAAGAAAAAATTATGACTTTCTGGTTTGAAGAAGAAGGAGGATTTTTTGATAAAATATCTAATGTGAATAAATAAACAGATCGGAATAAAGAGAAGAATGAATATCTGGATTGAAAGAAAGAATTAAGGGAGAGAATAACATCTTGATTACTAGAAAAATAATGAAGAATTTTCGAAAAAGAACTGAAGAAGGAATTTATTGATTACAAAAATCGAAGAAGAAATCTTGGATAGAAAAAGAAGGTATGTT